GAAGAAGAAGAAGAAGAAGAAGAAGAAGAAGAAGAAGAAGAAGAAGAAGAAAAAGAGGAAGAAGAAGAAGAAGAAGAAGAAGAAGAAGAAGAAGAAGAAGAAGAAGAAGAAGAAGAAGAAGAAGAAGAAGAAGAAGAAGAAGAAGAAGAAGAAGAAGAAGAACAAGAGGAAGAAGAAGAAGAAGAAGAAGAAGAAGAAGAAGAAGAAGAAGAAGAAGAAGAACAAGAACAAGAACAAGAGGAAGAAGAAGAAGAAGAAGAAGAAGAAGAAGAAAAAGAAGAAGAAGAAGAAGAAGAAGAAGAAAAAGAAAAAGCACCTGTGAGCAGAGATTGGCTTCATCGTGGAAGAATCCTCGCTTGAGGTCGCAGTGCTCCCGCGTGGTGATGATGCACTCCCCCTGGATGCCGAAGCAACATGGCCGACCCAGGATGTCGCAGGTCATGTGCTCGTTGGTGGTGCTGGCCAGCGATTGGTTCGGCTTGGCCGTGTCTTCACATATCTGGATTGAAAAGAAAAAAAAACCAGGCATTTGTTTTGGTAAGAGATTTATGGTACTTGTAACACAATAAGGTCATACAAGTGCCAAAGATTAGAGGTGTCACAAGAGAAAAAAATTGAGAAATGGTATGGGTTTAACGCCCCTATCAACACTATTAGGTTATGTAAGAGGCGGGGCCTCCTAGTTTAACGTACGTCTCTGAAAGGACCGAGCCAAGCGGGAAATTTGTGTAAAGTGCCTTTCCCAAGGACACAACATCGGACTGAGCTGTTACGAGAGAGTAACAAACACAAAAAAGAGGGGGGAGAGAACAGGACGATAGATGTGTGATAGGAAAGAAGGAGCAGACCACACCAGAGCATGCACCTGCAAACCACCCACAAAAAAAGGTATGATAACAGATAAGAAAAGATAAGTTAGGTAAGATAACACGAGACGAGATACAATAAGATAACAATGTATTGATCTTCACAAAAAGAAATTCATTTGGGCATGGTAAACACATACACAAGCACGCACGCACGCACGCACGCACGCACGCACTAGGAAACACTCTCTTTCATTCTGTCTTTCTCTCTGAATAGATTATGACTGCTCATTCACAGCATCAGGGGCCACTACAGTTTATGGCAAAGCGTCTGGTGTTGAGAGATTTGCGTTGCCATCTAAAAAGGATTTTTTGGGGTTGTTGGTTGATAAAATATGGTAGCTACAGCCACGTTGGAGACAGGCAATCATTTTATGCAGTACTATCGAAAAGAAAATTAATGAAAGGTGGGGGGGGGGGGGGGGGGAATGGAAAGTGGCTGTTTGGACAGTTGGCCGTGTTATACAGGAGGCAATCATGAAAAGTTCCACTGCATATTTTAGCATTTACGTTTAAGATTTAGCTGTTTAAAGAGTATAAATACCAAAAGCGATTCTGGACTTCAAAAAGTGAACGTTACAGCTGAGAGTACATTTTAAGCCGAGCCCATTCTACCGAAGTTTTCCTACATTCTCACCCCATAAAATCACATGGGAAAACAGAAACAACACGGATCAGAAACAACACGGATCAGAAACAACACACGGATCAGAAACAACACGGAACAGAAACAACACGGATGAGAAACCCACCGGCCACTGCGTGATCTCGTCGGGCCACTCAAAGGGAGGAGAGGAAGACGGCTTGTTGCAGTATCTGTGGACAACGAAGATAAGATAAGATAAGATAAGATAGATCTTTATTGTCCAGATCCTGGCATATTGGTTTGGTGAAGAATACCCGAACATATTATTATCATTATCACTTACAAAGTCAGTCATCGAACGGATCACTGAATAAAAGGTGAGTGACATCCACATTAGGAAAAAGACCCAAACAGCGAATAGGAGTTATTGGCGCTCATATGACCTTATGCAGTTGAGAGCGCCGTAAAACCTATACTAAAACAAAAAAACAGGAGTGAGGTTGAGAGACAGTTCACCACAAGTCTGCAAGACAATATCCTTTTGTTTTAGTAAGAGTTTTACGGCACTTGCAACACAATAAGGTCATATAAGTGCCGAAGATTAGAGGAGTTACAAGAGAGTAACAAACACAAAAAAGAAGAAGGAGAGATAAGGACGATAGATGTTTGATAGGAAAGAAGAAGCAAAATACAGGGTGCTGCACAGTGGCTACCAGCAATGGCATGGTTGTAAATTGTTCTG